TGTGCCTGATGTATGGAAAAATAACTGGCGTGTACGTTCCTGGGAGGAGGTGCTGGAATTGTCGTGTCTGCCAGCGAGGCAAAGCGGTTTAACAACTAAACAATCAGTTTGTTGTTAGCTTTTAGGATTATTCTTCTTCAAAAAATCTAATTACACTAACTGTAAAATCTGATTAAAGTGTTATTCGAGGAAAGGATTTATGGTTTTTTTTTTTTTTTGATACAAATTAAATCGGTTTTGAGAAAAATATTTATGTTTTCACGGGGTCATGCAGAAAATGAAAACAAAATATTTTTTTTCCCAGTGTAAAATTGACCAAAGTATTGTATCTACTCAGTTACCATAAACAAACTGCATCCAGAAAGCAGAATAAAAGCTTATGTGTAATTTCTATGTGGAATTGGGATAGCGTTCTCTGTTTTTTAAAAAAGAGCTGAAGATACTCTGATCTTGATGTCTAGATAGTTGGCTGCTGTTGTGACGCCAGAGCTGGGAGGTTTAATTCTTTAATTTAAGACGGTAATTCTTACAGGCTTCACTTGCTTTTGGTGTAAAGAAATTAAAAAGGCAGCTAGGAAAACTTAGGCATTTGATTATCTATTTTTTTAAAAGACTCACATTTCCTTTCAAAGGAAAAAGATGCACAGTGTGCTGCACTGGTGTTATTTTCAACTGTTGGAAAATCAGAAGTTAAACGTCCTCCTTAATATCACATTATGTAAAATCAAATTGACAATATACCATGAATTGTGTATTTTCAGCAACCAAAAGTACTAAAGACCTTCTAAAACTCCAGTGCATGGTATATTTAATAGAATAAAGTTATTTTAAAAAATTGAGACTAAATTTTATACAGTTGCATGTTGTTGTTTTTAAGGGCACAGCTCAGGCAAATTCAAGTTAAACATTAATAGGAGTGGTGGCTGAGGACGGATAAGCCGTGCTGTCCTTAGAGTTTTAACTCCGTTTCAAAACAATGATTTCTGCTCCAATCTGATGCTGTTACTGTTATGTTCTTATACGCTGATTTAAAGAAGTACTCAAGTTCCAGAGGAAGAAGCTGTTTCAAGCAAATACTTGTGCGTGTGCCATCTGTGATTTGCATGTAAAGAATTATCTTGGTGAATCAGTCAAGTGACTTTCATGCTGAAGTGCCTGCTGGATGCCCTTTGTGAGCACAACTGGCTAATGCTTTGGCTCTAATCTGAGGAACGACAACTTAAAGTGATTTTCTGGTATGGATGCTAAATGTTATGGGTGAGAAAAGATGATCAGTTACTAGAGTGAATGAATATACCTGCCTCCCCAGAAACAACTGAATGCAAAGTGAATTAAATTGTAGTTTTAAATGTTGCAGTGTATTCACATAGCAAAAGCAAATATTAAACTTGGGCTGAAAATACCCTTTCCTTAAGCAAGTGGCTAAGCGCACTTACAAATGGTAAAGGTTTGCCAGTTGTAGGAATCTTGTTGCTTATCAGTAAATTTTTCTCCTGCCACCGACTGCAGAGTTACCTTTCCGAAGGCTGCTGCCTCCTGTTGCGCGTAGCCCGCCTGTCCCCTGCAACGCCTGTAGTCTGAGGCTCAACATTGCAGTTAAAGCGTAACAGAATTAGTCGCAGGAGCTGGAAATGAAACGCAGCGTGACAAAATTAATCTCAGAAGGAACTTGTGAAACTTGGGTAAGACTGGGAAAAAAGCACAGTTCTCCCCGGTATACGGGCAAATAAGGGTTGTGTTGCGTGGAGCAGGGCGGTGCTGGCGCTCTGCACCTTCCTGGCACAGCTGCAGGGCAGTGAAACACAACCTCAGTATCGCCTTCTGGAACCTTTGAGGGGGTGAAAAAATCAGAAAAACCTTGTAAAAAGTATTCAATATTTTAAGCACTGAAGTAACACGATTCCCTAATCTTCCTCTGAGAATCATGCAACTGTTTATTTTTCCTCTTGTAGGATCTCGTTTTGGTGTGGTGGTTTGTTTTTTTTTTTGTATGTGGTTCCTAACAGTCTTCAATAATTGGAGTTACAAGGTATGAAGTAACAAGTTGGCAATAGTTAGGGTAACCTTTCTAGTTTAAGACTGTCAAAAAATCTTCCTGAATGTGGTACCATTTTTAAGAGGAATGTGGGATCATAATCACACATTGGTTTCTGACAGACAGTATTTCTAAGAATGTAAATCCTGTACATGCTGTTCTGTACTGTAAAGGCTTGAGCCAGTATTGTAGTGCTTGGATTGATTTCTTTTTAAAAAAGGTAAAAGAAAAAAAAGAAGCTTTCCAAGAAATGAAGTAGTTGTACTGAATACCCTTTCCTCCCCATACTTTGCCCCACAGCTCTGCCCTTGGGAGCAAACTGAAGTGCTGGTTTATACACAAAATTAGTATCTGTGATCCCTTTCCCAGCTTACACAGATGCATTCATGACTGTACGTACTTGGAATTAACCTTGTCTGGTTCTGAAACAGGCCTCCTCTGTCTCAAAAATACGGCCTCTTAGGGCTGGAGTTGAAGTCTGACACAGTTTCTTTGCACCTCTGCTTTTCCAGTGCTGAATTTTCCCTTCCCACGTGTGGTGCACCGCCTCAGCACTGTGAGGTGTGTGGGAACGGCTCACGTTCGTTGGCAGCATCTACAGTCACGTCTAACGGAGCAGGGCCGGGTTGCGAGGCTGCTCTAGATGCAGGGGATGGCTCAGACGGTGCCGAACGAACTCTGAATCCCCCACCCTGCTTTTAGGAGCAGAAAGTTCCCCGTCCACAGGCAGGAGCTGCCCCCTCGGGCGGTGGGGAGGGACCTGCGGGCACAGCGGGGCGCCCACCAGCAGGGACGGGGATGAGGATGGGCACCAGGACAGCCAGCCCACGGGCTCTGCCAGGGCAGCTGCCCGTGACAGCCACCCGCCCTCCGCGCTGAAGCTGACGTTGCTGTTTGCTGGTGGAAACTTTGGGGCTTTGGTTCACCCCAGGTCAAAGAAATGCAGTTGTGCCTCAGAATGGGAACAAAGGTTTCCAAAAACTTGGGATGGCAAAGGGCTGAGGCAGGCCCCGTGCCCCGGCGCTGCTCCGATGGCACGTGCAGCAGAAGCTGCCTTCCTGCTCCCTGCGGAGCTGCTGTCGCCTTGGTGGGCCGTGGGGACCCTCGGCTGCTCCCACCCATGCACCAGCTGTTGCACGGGCTGTGGGACTCGCCTTTGCTCACCATGGCCCCGCTGCAGCGGCCCCACCGTGTCCATGCCACATGCTCCGGTCCCGCCGGGCGATGGGCACTTGCCGCACGCCTCCCAGCAAGGAGCGTTTCCGCATTAGAAACGGTCACCCCCAGGTTCCGTTGGAATTCAACAGCCATTAGCCCACTCAAGTACACGAGGCATGGGAACAACGTATGCAGCGCACGACGTTTGAAGGTTTCTTGTGGTATTTCAACACCTTACGTGCTTGGTCATCTCACAAGCTGACATTCTTTGATTATCAAGGTTTTCCACCAGCGCCTCGCCACCTCCGCCAACGGGGGGAACAGTAGAGCCTCTTTCTGCTCTTTGCTCACTTTGTGCTCGCAGCCGAGGACAGCGTCAACCTCACCTGACACGACTGCAGTCTTCTTGCAAGGACAGAAACGTGTTGCCCTCCCACTTTCCCATGCCCAACCAGGTGCTGAGGCTTTTCCAGCCCCCAGAAACAGGATGGAAGCAAGCACACAAATGTTCAAGCTGCAAGTTACTAACACAAACAAGCAACACAAAAGGCTCAAGTTTATTTTTTTTGGCATGCCTGCTACTGGAAACACAGCCTAACAGGTCTTTCAGGATCTATTTAAAGCCCCCAATTACTTTTCCCTCTGGCTGCCACCTAGTATGTCAAATTTTTACAGTGGAATTAAAATGTCCCCAAGACATAGGGTTATGTAATGGAAACAATGACAACTCTCTACCTCTATGAACTGGGAGCTACTGTACCAAATAAACCCTTTCCTTCAGTCAGGGTCTTGTTTTGCAGTGTTAGCAATCACTCAGTCATAAAAGGAAGGGCTCAGAATCCATCATTGCTAAGGTTTACAAATTCACCATCTTTCTGAAAAATACACGAGGCGTAAGGAGTGACTTTTCCAGTGGCAGGCTACAGGAATACACAGATTACAGCACTGTTTTATACTTGGCAGTTATTGCCCAGCAGTGGTTCACAGCCTGGTACGAACGCCCGTTACTGCACGCGTTGGTTGACTTTCTGCCCAACAGCTGGACCTGCCGTTGGGTGCTGGCCATATGGAATGACATGTAAGTGAGCTAACGAACGATGAGCGTAAAGATGCAAAGAAAAAATAACAATTAGTGGCCGCTGGCCAAGGGAAGCAGAACACATGAACACAGTGGGGCTGGAGCCCGAAACACAGTGAAGTGCAGGAAAACAGCTTCCATTTTGCTGTCGAGTGCCACAGTCAGGAAGGATCCTGGACGCACCTGGCTGAAGCCGGCATAAAGCAGCACCTTAACTTCTACTTGTCTATTCGAACCTCACCAGGTACTGTTCTTCAGCTGACTAATACGTGGCTTTGTGTTGTTTTGAAAGGGCCATCTATATCGCTGCACACTGTTTTGCAGAGTTCCTACTAAAAACTTCAAAGGATTAAAAACCTTCAAGGATAACAACCCAGTTTTTAGAGCGGCTCTGTGGAAATCAGAAGGCCTAAACCCAGCGTTTGGAAGTGAAATGCTTCCACAGAGGACATGGCCAAAGGCTGTGGCAAGCCAGTTATTTCTGTGGTAACTGACAGAGTAAAAGACTGTTAACTCAGCAGCGCTGTTAAAAAAAAAAACACAGCAAAACATTCTAAAGTCTTGTTCTCTGTGCCTCTGTGGCATTAAACCCGTTCGCAGTTCTGTTTAATTACCTTTTTTTCTGGTAAATGTCCATGAGAGTGTTACTACTTAAAGCAGTATTTATATCTCTTACAAAGAGCATTACAATTATTATTCAGTTTGCCATTTGCTTTCAAACGCCTTAGTCTATATCATGATTTCAGCAAAAATCCCAAGATTGCTTTCTGTATCATCCTCAGGCTCCAATTCTTCACTGTGGTCCTTTGGAGAGGTGTGTACGCCTTGTTCTTGAATG